GCCTCGCGGTCCAGCGGCACGCGCGTCGTCAGCGCCCCGCTGCGCGCGTCCACCGCGAACGTTTCGCGCAGCCGCGCCGAGGGGATGGAGTACGTCACGACGCCGAACTCGCCGGCGTCCTCGTCGTACGCCTTCACCTGGAGCGCGATCGCGTCGCTTAGGGTTGCTTCATATCACACGTACGAGCGTATGATACATTACGGTACGCACTAGCGCACTGTCGGCTGAGAGTGAACTATACATTTCGACCGATCCTCCGTTAATCCGTTTGTGGTCGACCTCAAATCTATACTAATATTATAAAGCGCAAGAATTTGTTTGTTTGTTTGTTTGTTTGTTTAAACGCGCTAATCTCAGAAACTACTGTTCCGATTTGAAAAATTATTTTTATGTTGGATAGTCCATTTATAGAGGAAGGCTTTAGGCTATATGGGTGATTCCATTATAAGTGTGATTTTAATGTCCTGTATTGTTTGTTCTTACTTGTCATTAATAAATAAACAATTAAAATATGTCATAATTATTTTTGTATAATATAATATAACTTGCCACTTTGATGAAACTTACAATCTATCACTTAAATGTCAGTACCGTGTCATGTCCATTTCTACAATTTACTGATACATTATTAATTTTTTTGATCGCAATAAATGATTTAAACTAATTACCTTAAAACGTTTAATGTCTATGATCAAATTAAAAAAAATTGTCACATTTTGTGTTTTATGAAAATAAAAATAAAAATTAAATAATATCAAAAAGAATTGTGAAAAAATGGAATAACAATTGAAATAGTAAAAAAATCAAGTTGTAAAAATTTATTTTGTTTTATAGTTTAATTTTTAATTATGTATAGAAAAATAGAAAGTGTTATTTACTTCGTGTGGTATTGATTGAAACAAGTGTACAACCCTCTGCGGCGGAATCACTCATACAACATTCCCTGCGACCAATGTTGTGCTGATGTCCGTTACCGTGGTGAGGAGCAGAGGCGGCGGCTGGTTCTCGAGCGCGCGCGCCTCGTGCACGCGGTGCGGGAAGTGCGGCGCGGCGCGGTTGGCGGGCGCCAGGAGCAGCTTGACGCGCGCGAAGGTGGCGTGCGCGCCGTCCGACACGGAGACGTCGAGCGAGCGGCGCGCGCCCGCCGGCGAGGCGAGCAGCGCGCGCGGCTCGGCCAGCGAGAGCACGCCGGTGGCGGGGTGCAGCGCGAAGGCGCGCGTGTCGGCGGGCGCGCCGGCCAGCGCGTACTGCAGGCGCGCCGCGTCGCGCTCGTCGGGGTCCCAGGCGGCGACGCGCGCCAGCGCAGTGCCGCGCGCCGCCTCCGGGGAGACGGGCGCGCTCACCACGGCGCGCTCCATGCGGGGCGCGTTGTCGTTCACGTCCTCCACTGCGGCCAAACCAATAACCAATAACCTCACTACTCTGGTATTTATTTATTTATTTACATGGAAAGCTTACAGCTATAATAATCTTATTAACTATAGACTAGACAAGTGAGAGCCAATGACAAGTCTTCACTTATAACAATATTATATCTATAATGAGCAAACAAACAAACAAACAAGTATCGCAACTATTAAACTATAGTAATATATAACAATGTAGTTAAAAACTAAGTTAAAGTAGATACAATAATATTAGTAGTAGCAGTTCACGTATATATTTTATTTGAAAAAGTCCAGTGTATCCTAGGCACCTTCGTGCCGAGGATACACTCGTAGTGAATGGATCAAAATCATATTTGTTACAGATTTTGTTAAAATTTCCAATTGCACGCACAATAAAACTGTTTTGTCTATAATTAGAAGAAGCTTTGGGCAACAGCAAAGGTGGTATGGAACGAATTGATATACATGGGACGTTTATATATAATTTGGACAATAATTCGGGACAATCTATTTCATTATTAATTTTTTTTTGTAAGAAAATATAATCAGCTATCTCACGTCGAATGAAAAGTGGCAACAGATGATATTTGCGACAGAGTTCAAGGTAATTCTCGGAATGATAAGGGATTCTCTGATGGAAACAAAGGTACTTAATAAAACGTTTTTGGATGTTTTCAATACGATCAATATAACTATCTAACTATATTATATCAAATATTTTTTTGAATAATAACGTAGCCGAGATTAATTTATACTCTGAAAAATTCGATTTCTACGTATGCTCGTTCTTTGAAAGATCCTATGATATTAACACAAAATCAGTGTTATAAATAGTATATTTCATACCGAGGATAAAGAGATGTGCCGTGGTGCGGAGCGCGGGCTGGCCGGCGTCGGTGGCTGTCAGCAGCAGGTGGTGCTCCGCGCACTGCTCGCGGTCCAGCGCGCCCGCCACCGTCACCTCGCCGCTGTGCGCGCCCACGGCGAACTGAAGCGCGCCCACCGCGCCCACCGCGCCCACCGCCGCACCCCCCGCGCTCCACGCGCTCAGCGAGTACGTTACGTTGCCGTTGTCACCTTGTCACACACAGCGAGATGTCAGAAAAGTACGAAGTGGTGGAATCGACGTGTAGTATGAGAAGGAGGCAATCAGTGGTAAAGTTACCGTGGTCTGGGTCGTCGGCGCGCACGGTGAGCAGCGACGCGCCGAGCGGGGCGGCCTCGCGCACTGCGACGCGGTACTCGGCCTGGGGGAAGGTCGGCGCGCAGTCGTTGACGTCCAGCACGCGCACCAGCACGGTCACGTCGGCGAAGGAGCCGCTGACGGCGTCCGTGGCGCGCACCACCAGCCGGTGCTCGCGCGCCGTCTCGTAGTCCAGCGCGCCGCGCGGCACCACTGCACCTGCGCACGCACAGGTCAATCGCACCCGCCCACTCGCCGCACACTTGCACTACCCGCCCCACTCGTACCACCCGCCCCACACACACTACACCGCATTTTTTATAATCGAACTCTATATACATACTGCTTGTTGCTAACATTATAAATGCGAATGTTAGAATGGATGGATATAAGAAGGTATCTCCAGAACGGCTGCATAAATCTCTCTAAAATTTCTTTATAAAAGTTCATAAATCGTTAACAAAATCGCCGGAATGTACCGAGTCCAGTCGTAAGTTCTGTTACAAATTAAAATATTTTTATCTCAATGAAGTAATAATGCAATATTATTAAAATTTAAATCAACATATTTATTAACGTCTCAGCAAAAAATAACAAAATATTCTAGCCGAAATGGCCACCTTTAACTTTTATCATCATCATCATCAGCTCACTATATGTCTCCACCGAGGGGCTCGGAGCCTAACCTAAGTTAAGGGTGACATAGTCAACCACGCTGGCCAAATGCGCGTTGGTTGACTTCACACATATCTTTGAATTTCTTCTCGGATATGTGCAGGTTGCATCACGATATTTTCCTTCACCGTAAGAACGTCGGATAAATGTACATATGTAAATCGAAAATCGAAAAACACATTGGTACATGGCGGGATTCGAACCCAGAACCTGCAGATTACAAGTCAAGTGCTGAAACCACTGAGCCACCGACGCTCACTTTAACTTTTATACAGGTCTTTAATCCGTTTGGCCACGAAGCTATGGATTTTGCAAGAGCGGGACGTGAGCACCACAGTGCGTCGCCTAAGCTAGGCAAGGGCTGGGTGCGGGCTGGGCGCGGGCTAGGCGAGGGCTGGGCGCTGGTTGGGCGCGGGCGAGGGCTGGGCGCTGGCTGGGCGCGGGCTGGGCGGTCTCTGTACTGTCTCACTCTACTTCTACCTACATAACTAACATACGTGCAATCACATTCACAAAGAGAATAATAATTATTGTACTTAATTTTAAGTAACAAATAAAAATGAAATAAAAATATAGATTAATATAATTAATATCTAGAACACTGTGAGGCGAATCTGACAAAGCAGTCAGCTACTGGTGCATACACACACACACACACACACACTCATGAGCAAACTGCAGATGTATGCAAAGCGTTGGGGTGCGGGGTGTGGGGTGCGGAGTGCGGGGTGTGCAGAGACAGTACTCACATGGGCCGTTCGCGCCGGGGGGAGCTGCGGGCAGAAGTGATTCGTTAGTGCTGCGAGATGAGCACTGTGAGTCTTATGCTCGCCACTATCATCGGCGATACCGCCTCACTTTTAGTCTTTTGCGATAATTCGATTAGAGGTCCATGTTTGTGCCAAAAGAGGCTACTTCAAAATTGTTCTTTGATATATAGTCATCCCGCAGTTCAACCTAAACGCGATCGAGCAGATCGATGTGACAGGTATTTTGTGAGTAAAACGACTCGGACCGCAACGGTGATGTTTCAATCGGCACAAAGACAGAAAGAGGCTTACCCGTCTCGAAGTGCACCTCGAAGAGGTCCGCCGGCCCCTCGTGCAGCGTGTAGATGAGCGCGCGCGCCAGCGGCGAGTCGGCCTGCAGCGCCGGCGTCAGCGCGCGGCCCGGCGGCGCGTCCTCGCGCGTCTGCAGGTCGTAGTGCGCGCGCGGCCAGCGCGGCGCCGCGCCCCCGCTCCACGCGCGCACGCTCACCTCCGCCTCCGTGCCGCATGCCGGCGTGCCTTCACCGCGCAATCTCAATCTCTTACATTTTTACAAACAAAATTAACAGTTTCCATCGCTTCGGGAATGAAGACTCACCTCCGTCGAATGCGGCGACGACGAGCGTGTAAAGATGGTTGGCGGGCTCCAGCGGCTGGCGCAGCGAGATCTGCCCGGTGCGCCGGTCCACGCGGAACAGCTCCCCGTTGCCCCGCTTCATCTCGTACCGCACCTGCGCACCGCACGGTCAGCGAGCCGTCCCCGGGTTGACTTATATCATCGCAAAAGTAATGGCAAAGATCGACGTCGGACGGCCGTAAAGAAGTACTTTTTTTGGATTTAATGGAGTACAAGTATAAAGTTCGGCGATAGTGCAACGCGAAGAGGGCGCACCTCGCCGTTGTCGTTGGCGTCGGCGTCGGTGGCGTGCACGCGCAGCACGGGCGCGCCGGCGGGCTCCCCGGCGGGCAGCGCGGCGGCGTAGGGCCGCTGGGTGAACACGGGGCAGTTGTCGTTGAGGTCCCCGACGGCGACGTGCAGCCGCGCGTGTGCTCGCCGCGCGCCCGCCGCCGCGCGCACCAGCAGCGTGTAGGCGGCGCGCACCTCGCGGTCCAGCGCCACGCCGCCGCTGCGCACCGCGCCCGACGTCGCGCCGATCTGCACACGGGACCTCACTTGTCTCTTTATTCTTATAGAGCGATCGCCCGCGACTTCGTCAATGCAGAGACGAAGCAGCCTTCGTCTTCTATCTTCCGACCGGACTCCCGTCAAACTCGGGCCGGCCGTTTCGAGGATTTCCCGGAACACAATCAGATTTGTGGACAGACAGGGAAAAATTCAAAAATAGATTATCGTTATAAGCGACACGCATGCATCTTGCCGCCGCGAAATCTGATTCTTTTAATTGTAATTTAAAATATAACAAAATAGCCGATAAAAATTTTATGACTTATTATTTTTTCTTAAAACTATTAACTTAAATGTTTAAGACATTTCGATTTTAAAATATGAATAAATATGTAAACAAAATGGTACCTCGAATCCATCGGTGGGATTGAGTATGGAGAAGAGGACGTGCTCGTTGAGCGCGGCGCCGAGCACGCTCAGTACGGCCACCGTGCTCGGCTTGGTCGTGTTCTCCAGCACGGAGGCGTAGTAGTCGGTCTTGTGGAAGGCCAGGCCGGCCGGGTCGGGCTCGCGCGCGCGCACCACCACGCGCGCCGTGCTCGAGAACCGGCCGTCCG